AGAACCTTAATTACACAAAAATGAGTTATAAGTTTTTAAGTAAGAGTTTGAGACGGTTGCGATAGTTAACCTTCCAAAAACGTCGCGAGTGAAAATAGCAAAATTATTTTATGAAGGAGATTGCAATAATAAACTTAAGATTTAGCAAAAGCTGTCTCATTAGTTCAGCATTTGGAAGTATACAATATACTCTAGACTAGATCGATGGAATATGGAGGATGAAGGATCACCTTAACCACATTGAGCTTTTGATTATTAAATTAAAAAAGTATATTTTCTTCCCTCTACAAAATGTGACCTTTACTCGGGTAGACCAAGAGATTTGTCATTTCATTGAGGTAGGTCAAGGCTGACTGCTTTACGGGCGTTACGGGCACTTGCAACAAGAGGTTAAAATAAAATAACTAAAAAGCAGACAAAGTTGCAGGAAACAAGGATAACAATAACAACTATCGTTGGTTATTTAGATGCCTAAATAGCTCGACAAGTTGAAGCCAACGACTACACAGCCCCTTATATTTTCAGTACGAAATGCATTCTGGCAACTTCCCGGGATAAGACAAAGGCGCAGTCCCTTCGGGATTGCGTCTTGATTGGCTAATACAAGGTCATAATGTTAGTAAATGATAATGATGATGTTACATCCAGACATTTGAACTTCTTTGTAACTATTTTTTTGCAGTCTGAACGCGTGTCACCAGCCCCAAAAGTGGTCGACACTAATTGAATGTTTCCCTGCGGGATTATTTATTATGATTTATTAGTCAGATGTGTTGCCAGGTATATTGGTCTATCATTAGGCGTCTAGGGGCTCCGGCTGCGAAGTCGGTGGTTGAACCTCTTTCTTTTTGTGGCTTGAGGGATCGGTATAGTGCTTTCCTCTCACTAACCTAGACGAATAAGCACATTTTTGATCAGATAATATTCTATAAAACATTTAATCATAACTTTTGTAATGTAATGAATGAATTTAAATGTGTTTATGTTTAGTATTCATTGACGGCAGTGCCAGTAGCGGTCAGTGGAAGTGGTGATGTGGTAAAAGTGTAATGAGGGTCGGTCGGGCCCGTGACGCGATGCAGCGCGGCGCGGCGCGGAGCGACGGGGCGGGGTGGGCGGACGCGCGGAAGGAATGCGTCGTTTTCGCATCGGGAGAAACGAATGCGTTTAAGCGTCGCGGGTATACAATGGCGGCGTGACGAGATCCGGTTCGCGGGCGGCGCGGGGGCAGGGACGGGGGCTCTAATCGATAGCCGGCGAGCGACGGCCGGGCGACTGCGGCGCATAGGTGACAGCTCGGGCCCAATCAAATTACCGGCCGTGGAGGAGAGCTGCACCGCCACGCACGCCGGAGAAACAAATGTTGCTGCCGCCGCCCGCCTGCCCCGTTGTCGGCCGTCGCCGTCGTCGCCGCCAAAACTGCGTCGACGAACCTCTTTTGTCCATAGACCACTGCCTCACATGCGTCTGCCTATGCAACACAATTGACGGATAGTCATCACTTACCACGCCGCCGCCCGATACGCGAGCCCCCCCTCACATAACCCCCTCTCTGCATGGCTCCAATTAGTTCTCTTTATATAAGATATGTAGTGAAATTAAGTAATCTACAGAGTTGTAAACAGTTCATGTTTAAGCATAGTGTATCGTAATTTGAAAGTCATTACACATATCAACGTCCTTGTAGATAGGACTGTAACCTGGTCCACAAATTATAAATAAACAATTGAAGTATATTAGGAAACTGAATGCTATTAGACCCAAGAAGACTCGAGCTAAGAAGAGTTTGAACTCTGTACTAGAGAAGAGAACTGATATTTAACATACATGATTATAATACAAAAAAAATAGTGTTGCTTCCGGGCAACATTTAGCCAGAACAATGTCGTTGAGGTGTGGCTAGTAGGTACGTTAAAAGTTATATTAAACTTTTTGATCGCAAGCTGCACCTTTGATGCTCTACCAACCCAGCAAGGGATGTGTGTTAAGTTAATACGGCCAAATAAGCTTCAGACACATATCAAACTTAGGAGCTTTGTTGTATAAGGAAAACTTGCTACTGTCGCACCAACTAGTCGTCCATCAGTTACCTACTTATGTATTAACAACAAATATAATAATGAAACTTTAATTTTACTGAAAACTAATAATGAGAAACTATCACTAAAGTTAAATGACAGAACTACCGAAAAATACTAACTCTTAAGTTTAGTTTAGTTTACCGACTTAAAGAATTTATTGAGCTAGAGTAATAAACGATCTTAAAGTTCCACGTCTGAGTATTAGTGTACGCGCATCTAATTATAGGTTATTCCACCCGCGTACCACAACAGATCCACGCTCTGCCATTAACGACCTGAGCACGAATCGTATGTGTGGCGATGGCTATGTGCATACGCGGTCGGCACATCAGACATTTGTGAGCAAGCGTCACGACACGCGCGATGAACTTTGCCCGGTTGGGACAAACTTCGACCCAAAACCCCACAAACCAGAACAAACAATAAATTGACGATAAAAAGGCAGTCATACTGCTGCCCCGGCCGGTGGTCGTAAAAATGAATCTTGACATTGAGAACAGAATTATAGCGACAATATTCCGCCAAGAGATAACGGGCCATAAAGTTGCCACAAATCGATCGCACGCGTGTTGAACTAGATACTTATAAATAATTGACGTCGAAGCTTACTCGACTTATGGATGTCTAAAATAAATGTCGCTTTCATAGGTAGGTAGGTAATGAAGTAGTCGCCGCAATTAAACGATGACATCATAGTCTCCATGCCTTCCGCGATGGGAAATAAAAGCACAATTCAATCAACGAGACATACTAAGGTGACGCTTACGAAAGTATACAGTCCGCTGTAACTGTCCTTGTGTGAAATGCTAAGGGCATTGAGTAAACACACAGATGCCTACATTCTGAACGTTATCAATTACTGTCACAACCACTTACAAGGTAATTTAAAAAAATATGTAAGGATGTAAAGTCTAAAATTTTATCGGTTAGGACACGTAACTTAATATGCAAAATAATTTAATATTAATTCAAAATATTGATACCTGGAATACGAAAGAGTTTAATAAAAACAACTCAAAATGGTATGATATTCAAGTAGTAAAACGCAATAAAATAACAATAGCCGGAAAGGATAACATCAAGCCAACAAATGAAATGTGCATAGATCAATTTTGTGTTGCGCCAGACGAATCCTTGAATTTGACCGTGATTCGGTAAACCATGCGGTGTGGGGTGAATAATTACTTATGATACATTTATAAATATGTAAAATTAAGACGCAATATCACCAAACAAAACAAACTTGACTTACATAAATCGATATAAAAAAACTTATATTATAATATGTAATATGTGCGATTGATGAACTGATTGTACACTCGAGAGCAATGAATCCGGGTCACTTAAAGAATCCTAAAAATCTCGCAAACTAAGAATGCCAGCTTAATGAAATACATTCTAATTAATAGACAATTAAATACTCCTTAAATGAAGATATTAAAACTTCTTAGTTTTGTAAACTTTCGAAGATGGAACTACGAAATTACTTTGTTTTTGTTTCTAATCTGTCATTTATCATTCATATAAACCACGTCGATAGTGTTCAATATTAATTTATTCATGTGTAATAATGTCCCTTAACACCTGGAGAATGCACCAGAATTCTCACAATGCTGGAAACTGGCCGGAGTTAGTGCGATACAGCCAGGACTGTCGGTGTGTCGCTCTCAACAGTACAAAGAGTTCTTCGACGTTACGAGGAAACTGGCTGTAACCTACGCAGACCAAGAACAGGCAGAACCAGATATACCACAGTACGAGAAGATCGATACTTGGTTAACACCATGCTTTGAAATCGCTTTCTCTGAAATTACAAATCAGCTTCGACGACTCGGAGGAGGTAACTCAAACGCATGGACAGTAAGACGACGAAATGCAAACATCTAGCAGTTAAATGCTTAAAAAATAAATAAAATCATAACTATAATTGCTATTTCTTCTTTCAAATGTTTAATACTTGAAAAAGTATTCATTTGACATTGTGGGTTACCTACAATGCGAAGAGATGGCGCTGCCTTGCAGCTTAAGGCTAGGAAAATTTCGACGCGGCTAATAGGGCCGTGGTAGCATAATGGTCAGTGCATTCGCCCGGATAGAGAAGGATGCGGGTTCGAGTCCCGTCCGCTGCCTGGTCCGCGTGGATTTTTTTTCTAGTAAACTTTTCTTTATATTTAAACATCTAGCAGTTAAATGCTTAAAACATAAATAAAATCATAACTATAATTGCTATTTCTTCTTTCAATGTTTAATACTTGAAAAAGTATTCATTTGACATTGTGGGTTACCTACAATACAAAGAGATGGCGCTGCCTTGCAGCTTAAGGCTAGGAAAAATTCGACGCGGCTAATAGGGCCGTGGTAGCATAATGGTCAGTGCATTCGCCCGGATAGCGAAGGATGCGGGTTCAAGTCCCATCCGCTGCCTGGTCCGCGTGGTTTTTTTTTTCTAGTAAACTTTTCTTTAGATTTAAACATCTAGCAGTTAAATGATTAAAAAATAAATAAAATTATAACCACAATTTATTTCTTTAAGCTAGCATTATCAGTTTGCGAGATTTTTAGGATTCTTTATGTGACCCGGATTTATTGCTCTCGAGTGTATTTGATTTGATTTAAGACCTGTTTAACCATAGATGTTTACTTAAACGGCACAGCAGACATTTGTTGGTAAAGTTCTAATTCGCATCGGGTATCAAATATCCATTATCAAGTAATGAAAATAAAGATAAGATGCTATACTTCTTAAATAAAGAGATAAAAGTTATGAAAAGCAAATCAGCTAGCTAGCTAACTTACTAACTAGCATTTGACTTGATTTCACTAAAGTTGTACAGATTTTGTTAAGGAATAGTAATGGCTTAATAACTTAATATGAAAAATAATAAAGATAGCAATATTGAATTAAATTACTTTACTCACCTAACGCTGGATCTAAGACTGCTTGTGCTGCCTGTTCTTCGCCAACTGGCGTTTTAAGGCATATTTTTTTGAGTTTCATTGCAACTGGCGAGTCTTCTGACTGGGCCACTGTGAACAAAAATAACATGTAAACAAAACAAAGCATAATGTAAATTAACAAATATTTATAACTGATGGAGAATGGACAGCCTAGCAGACCATTATTTCACGCGAAATATCACTGTATTAGGCTTGTTGAATATATATCGATGTATCGATATTTTTTGTTCGATATATCGATATTTTAGCCGATATATTTTGATTCGATATATTATATATATTATACATTGATACAAAATAACAAATATGGAATTCGTATCAAAAACGATAGTTTTTTAATTATTAGCGGCATATCACGATCTAACTAAATTCGTATCGTGGCATACGAGCAGACGGCTCACCTGATGGTTAGTGATCACCGTCGCACATGGACACTTGCAACACCAGGAGTATCACAAATGCGATGCCGGCCTTTAAGGAAGGAGTACGCTCTTTTTTTTTGAAGGTTTTTGGGTCGTATTGGTCCGGAAACATTGCTGGCGACAATATATTCCACAGTTTTGTCGTACGTACGATAGCCACGCATCAAGATGATGGGGATGAAATTTTTGTCGCGATGTACGATGGCGAAATGCAGCAGCTGGAATTAATCCGAACAATTCCTCAGAACGCTCTCCGTGATAAATGCGATAGAAGATGCAGAGCGATGCTACATCTCTACGCAAAGCCAAAGAATCAAGCGGATCGGAAAGGTCCTGGTCGTCGACGATTCGAGCCGCTCGGCGCTGGATGCGATCTAAAGGGAGAAGCTGGTACTGGGGTGCCCCCGCCCAAAGATGAGAGCAGTACTCCATGTGAGACCGAACCTGTGCCTTATAAAGTTGCAGTCGGTGGGCCGGTGTGAAGTACATTCTCGATCTATTGAGCACACCAAGCTTCTTAGAGGCCAATTTGGCCTTGCCCACTAAATGATCCCGAAACTGATATTCAACATTTCTATGATCTGTAAATCTGTTTCGCTGGTGAATTGGTTGTGCTGAATTCCATTATATTGATTGTGTGACTGTCTAGTCTTGTTTACGAAAGATGGCACCTGAGGCCCTGCAATCATTTTTATCATTCGAAAATAGGATCTAGTTTTAGGGAGATAATTTTCGTTCCATTATTATTCCGCTTTCATGTGCTAGGCTGACCTAAATATATTATTTTGGAAAATTGATCCGATATATATATGTATTTGTTGCGATATATCGAAGCCGCTATTGATATTTTTTAAAATATCGATGTATCGATAGTTTTTTTCACTTTCGACATCCCTACATTGTCCAAGGTGCGTGTTCGTCGCAAGTTCTGTTAGCAGTTTGTTTTAACACTTTTACTGTGAGAATTGGAAGGATTTGGAATTTGCTACCAGTATCCGATACGTGCAGTCAAAAACATATAAGGTTAAAGGATGGTAAGGACCATCAGTATTTAATTTTCTTAATCAATTTGAATCTTAGATAGAATCTGTCGGTTTCTTCCAGTCACTAAAGAATAGGTTTCTGATAGAGCGCATCAGCGCTCATTTACTCGGGTATGAGATGCAGTGAAGCTAATTTGGCTACAAAAGTTTTCAGTTTGGAAAATAAATTACGTCGACTGTTATCTTAAAAAAATACACCATTATGATACATAAGTTTTTAAGAGAAATTTCCTCTGACCACATTATGAAGCTAGTACTAGCAAGCCTAAACTGGACTTGAATACAGAGTAACGTTTACGCCACATCCTGATTATTTAAGACAGACAGTCGTTTACCGATTACATATGATAAACTAAACTAGGTCATTTGAAATATCTATTTAAATCATTTGCAAATTGTTTAGTAGTCGGAAACTCGCATTCCGTGTAAAACAGGCTTTTTTATTATGATGGTATATTTCCATATGTGCTTAGAGACTGATCTATTAAAATTCGTACAAGCAACTTTTGTCAACAAAAGTCAGTTGAAAAAGCTTCCTAAGCAATTACTGACAATCCGAAGTGTGTACTTAATGTTTTCAGAGTTAATGACATGAACTGTGTGTAATAAGTGAAACCTAAAGAAACATTAGAAAATTTTACTAAAAAAAAAATTACACTCAGTCCAGTTTTCAGTCGGGTTCCTGGACCAAGAAGTATTTTTTCTAGTAATATTTTCTTAATATTTAAACTTTAATCAGTTCAATTCTTAAAAAAAAAACGGGTATTTAATCAAGAAGTTGAGAGAAAGCGGCCGGAATTAAACATCAAAAGGGATGTGTTTTTCATCATGATAACCTTACACATCTTTAGCCACTCAGCAAAAATTAGGAGAGTTTGACTGGGATGTGTTATAATGCTTTTGCCGCATAGTCCTGACCTTGCATCCTCAGATTTCCACCTGTTTCGGTCTCTTCAGAATTATTTAGGCAGTATTAGGTTAAGATCACTAGAAGACCGCCGAAACCACTTGTCGCGGTTTTTTGATCAAAAGCACCAAAAATTCTATAGCAATGGGATCATGTCACTACCTACAAGATTGCAAAAAGTTATCAAACAAAATGGAACCTACATACTTTAGTTAAATGTTAATAAACTTTATTAAAAATGTTTTGAATTTTCATATAAAATGCGAAGAAACTTTTTCCATAACCTAATATAACACGGTACGGTCTAATCCAGAATCGTTTTTTTTACTTTATTCGTCCGTGTTTGGGTCACAGACATACATGTTTGTACCTAATTTCAACTGCCAGTCCTGTAGATTCCGAGCTCTGTGACAGAAAATCGACTCCTTTAAGGGTTCCGTTTTTGCCCAAGAACGTAAGGAATCCTAATAATATAATAAATAATAAATGTTTTTATTTATTTTTAAGCATTTAACTGCTAGATGTTTAAATCTAAAGAAAGGTTTACTAGAAAAAAATCGGCAGGCAGCGGACGGGACTCGAACCCGCACCCTTCGCAATCCGGGCGAATGCACTGACCATTATACTACCACGGCCCTATTCGCCATGTAGAAATTTTCCTAGCCTTAAGCTGCAAGGCAGCGCCATCTCTTCGCATTGTAGGTAACCCACAATGTCAAATGAATATTTTTTCAAGTATTAAACATTTGAAAGAAGAAATAGCAATTAAAGTTATGTTTTTATTTATTTTTAAGCATTTAACTGCTAGATGTTTAAATCTAAAGAAAAGTTTTAGAAAAAAATCCACGCGGACCAGGCAGCGGACGGGACTCGAACCCGCACCCTTCGCAATCCGGGCGAATGCACTGACCATTATGCTACCACGGCCCTATTCGCCACGTAGAAATTTTCCTAGCCTTAAGCTGCAAGGCAGCGCCATCTCTTTGCATTGTAGGTAACCCACAATGTCAAATGAATACTTTTTCAAGTATTAAACATTTGAAAGAAGAAATAGCAATTATAGTTATGTTTTTATTTACTTTTAAGCATTTAACTGCTAGATGTTTAAATCTAAAGATAAGTTTCGCCACGTCGAAATTTTCCTAGCCTTAAGAGATGGTGCTGCCTTGCAGCTTAAGGCTAGGAAAATTTTGACGTGGCGAATAGGGCCGTGGTAGCATAATGGTCAGTGCATTCGCCCCGATTGCGAAGGGTGCGGGTTCGAGACCCGTCCGCTGCCTGGACCGCGTGGATTTTTTTCTAAAACTTTTCTTTAGATTTAAACATCTAGCAGTTAAATGCTTAAAAATAAATAAAAACATAACTTTAATTGCTATTTCTTCTTTCAAATGTTTAATACTTGAAAAAATATTCATTTGACATTGTGGGTTACCTACAATGCGAAGAGATGGCGCTGCCTTGCAGCTTAAGGCTAGGAAAATTTCTACATGGCGAATAGGGCCGTGGTAGTATAATGGTCAGTGCATTCGCCCGGATTGCGAAGGGTGCGGGTTCGAGTCCCGTCCGCTGCCTGCCGATTTTTTTCTAGTAAACCTTTCTTTAGATTTAAACATCTAGCAGTTAAATGCTTAAAAATAAATAAAAACATTTATTATTTATTATATTATTAGGATTCCTTACGTTATTGGGCAAAAACGGAACCCTTAAAGGAGTCGATTTTCTGTCACAGAGCTCGGAATCTACAGGACTGGCAGTTGAAATTAGGTACAAACATGTATGTCTGTGACCCAAACACGGACGAATAAAGTAAAAAAAACGATTCTGGATTAGACCGTACCGTGTTATATTAGGTTATGGAAAAAGTTTCTTCGCATTTTATATGAAAATTCAAAACATTTTTAATAAAGTTTATTAATATTTAACTAAAGTATGTAGGTTCCATTTTGTTTCGAGTCCCGTCCGCTGCCTGGTCCGCGTGGATTTTTTCTAGTAAACTTTTCTTTATATTTAAACATCTAGCAGTTAAATGTTTAAAAATAAATAAAAACATAACTATAATTGCTATTTCTTCTTTCAAATGTTTAATACTTGAAAAAGTATTCATTTGACATTGTGGGTTACCTACAATGCGAAGAGATGGCGCTGCCTTGCAGCTTAAGGCTAGGAAAATTTCTACGTGGCGAATAGGGCCGTGGTAGCATAATGGTCAGTGCATTCGTCCGGATTGCGAAGGGTGCGGGTTCGAGTCCCGTCCGCTGCCTGGTCCGCGTGGATTTTTTTCTAGTAAACTTTTCTTTAGATTTAAACATCTAGCAGTTAAATGTTTAAAAATAAATAAAAACATAACTAGAATTGCTATTTCTTCTTTCAAATGTTTAATACTTGAAAAAGTATTCATTTGACATTGTGGGTTACCTACAATGCGAAGAGATGGCGCTGCCTTGCAGCTTAAGGCTAGGAAAATTTAGACGTGGCGAATAGGGCCGTGGTAGCATAATGGTCAGTGCATTCGCCCGGATTGCGAAAGGTGCGAGTCCGCTGCCTGGTCCGCGTGGATTTTTTTCTAGTAAACTTTTCTATAAATATTAAAGCTAATGTGACTTGTCATTAGAATCCATCATGACGATACAGGTTGTGATTTAAAAAAAAAACAAGAGGTGTTTTAATTTTCAAGAAAATAGCATAATCTGAATCACC